ATAGACCCCAACACTTGAGGACCATATGCTCAGGCCTTGATCTTGAGTTTCTGTAGTGGAACTTATGGTGTAACGCATATATAGCCATGTGAGGGATCCAATCCGGCAACCTGTACGTCAGAGCCAAAGGTGTTGTTGGCTGGAGCAAGTACCTTCTCCTTACGATGCCCATTAATGACTCATAACTCTCTGTTTCACTCATGACAGCTCCGACCCCAAGATCGATTGGGTCACTTCGGAATTCCCACCTGCCAAAGTGTTTTCACCCAATCTCCTCGCAAAAGCCTTACCAATCTCACCATCTGCGCATTTGGAAACAAAAAATAAACAAGTTATCGGCCATATTTCTTTAGATCCGAACATAAAAGTCGACATAATGAATGCCTTTAACATAAATAACTAATAAACAGCACAACATGCCATTAATGGAGGTTTAAATGATTTTTTTTCTTAGATCTCAGCTACAAAATTTAAAGGATAAAACATAATTAAATTTGTCGAACTACATGGACGAGGTAGGTGATGAGATTTTTTCTCTGATTCTAGTTGTTGGTTGACAGTGATGGTTTTATATGGTCATGCAATGAAAGATAGAGGTGAAATGTTTTGGCTCTCTGTGGCAACGCTGAACTCGACGGCTACTATTATATATAAAGAGTAAGTTTTATGTTGTGTAAAAAATCTATACAAACCATATATGTGTATGTATTTACGAAAGATCTCCAGAATCTATTCATTTTTGTGCGCCGCCTTGACAGTGCAACTTGTGGCTCTGATGCCTCTATCGTCACCCTACTAGTCGAACAGTAACCTATAAGATATTGCCTCTGTTGCTAGAAGATTTGTAGCGGCTACCAAGAGAACTTCAGTAGCGTGTGTGAGGGTTGTTTACGTAATTGTACATCAAATATGCTACACAGTCAACTAATTTTCGAAATCTTATGGTTATTTTCTGTATTTCACTAAAATCTATGGTTTATGAGCTAGTTATCTCTTTATTTTTAATGTGTAGCAGTGACTGACACGCAGTCGATATCCAACTTTTAAATAATTGTATTGGAGAAAACCGTCTAATTCTCGCAACTTCGTTACTATTTTTATACTAGTAGACTAGGTGAGTATAAATATGTTTGATTTCTTTTTAGGGGCAATTACAAAAATGCCACTTTTGTGTGCACATTTGCAAGAATGCCACTTAGGGGTGCTCATTTGCAAAAATACCACTAATTATAGATTTATAAAACCTATATCTTAAAATTATAAACCCTAAAAAATGTTTTGACCCCTAAAACCCCCTAAACCCTCATAACTAAACCCTAATAGAACATAATTAACCCAAACATAAATGATATAAAGAAAAAATAATTTTGAAAAATTGGCATTTTTGTAAAGATTTTAAAAGTGTGGCATTTTTGTAAAGTGGCTCTTGAAAAGTGGCATTTTTTGAAATTTCTCTTCTTTTTATCTATATGTATATAACATAATCGATCATATACCAATAAATACATGTGTTTTAATATTTGGGAGAAAACGATTGATTCATCTTTGTATTGTTGTACACAGTCCCGTTACGGACATGTATTCGCAAACTGTGATAATATATACATGTACTCCTTCTAAATTCAAATTTTCTGACGATAAATGTAATATTAACATATTTGTGGACTTGCTTATGTTGTAATTACCTAATTCTTCTAGGTTATGTTAATATTCTTGTAACTATATATATGTCTCTAAGGCTATGGAATAAATGATCTTCTTCCGCTAATAACTTTGATATGGTATCAGAGACAAAGGCATAAAATTTTCGATCCAAAAGTTCTGGTATTGTTCATCGAAATCCTTTTCTTTATGTATTTCGTTTGTGTGCAAGTTTCTTCTTGCTACGTGTTTGGAATATGGTCTTCATAAAGAAGCGATTCTGTTTGATTTTTTTGTGTGTCGTAAGTATCATCTTCTTGGCTTGTGGTCATGGTGGAGACTCCTGTTGTTTCGTCATCTGATGCTTCTAACAAAGAATCATCAATTCTATCGGATTTCTACCTTCATCCTTCATCTGATCTAGGAAACTAGATTTCCACGGTGTTAT